TTTTATTGTGCCATGTAGCGCAGGGCACAGCTCTTGGTCTTGACATGGTCTCAGGTTAGGTGGTCTTGACTACAACACTACCGTGGAAACCGGTCTGCTGGGCCCACAGCATGACGCTTGAACAGAGTTTTATTCTCTACCAGGTTTTCTAGATTTGTCTTTGACTTTTTGAGTCAAATTCTGGATATTTAAGAAACCGGTTCTTATCATGCATAACCTTCAACTCAGCTGACTGACCCCTGCTGACCTTTGACCCTGCTGACCTCTGATCTGCAGCGGGCCGCTGATCCTCTGGCCCTGCAGGACCGCTGCTCCTCGGCGGGTTGCTGGTTCCTCTGGGTCGGCGGAGCGGCGGTAGATTCCTCGGCTCACGTCCTCAAACACGACAAACATCTCCCAGACGCGGGACGTGTAGCCGGCCAGCTCCGTCACCTGCTCACAACACATGAGGTCAGCTGCCCGTCTGAGGGGGCGGGGCCTGTCAGCGGGGGCGGGGCATGCTGACCTCCTTGTAGGAGCTCATGATCCTCTCCACAGCGTCGGCGGCGGCGTTCAGGAGGTTCCTGGCTGTGGTGAAGGCCTGCGTTCGCTCACTGACCAGATCCTCCTCTTTCATTACCATGGCTGCCCGCTTCACCTCCTCAGAGTCTGCACGCAAAGGGTCAGAGGTCATATGCTGCCGCCGCGGCCTCCGGCCCACCGCAGGGGGGCCGAGCTTACCATTTTTGGAGTATCCTGTGGCGGTGATGATGGGCACGGCCACCATGACGAGACCGGACGCGCTCCAGACGTACTTCATGAGGAACTGCTCCAGCATGACGTACCAGAGCCGCTTCAGCAGGATCTGATGGATCTGAGATGAGAGGGAGGCGTAGCTCCGCTGCAGCTGGGACAGCTCCACCTGCAAACCAACAGCGCTCAACACTCTGAGAATCTAATGCACCCACACAGCAACCGTGCTTCCTCGGTCTGGGAATCAAACACTCGCTTCTGTAGAAAGTGTCGGTGCTGAGCAGGGGGCACTCACCTTGTGTCCGGCGTAAAAAGCGATCTCCTCGGAGTTGGCGATGATGCGTGAGTGCATGTAGCGCAGGTCTCCCTTCCTCTTTGCCTCCTCGGCCACCAGCTTCCCAAAGTGCGGCGAACAGGAGCGCAGCACCTTGGCGGTGAGCGCCACCACCAGGCCGGCGATGGCAGAGGGCCATGTGGTGTCGGCCCCTACAGGAGGACACCATCAGGCCAGGTACAGGTGAGTATCAGCTGCGGCGGCGGCAGCAGTGTACCTTTGGACTGGGCGGTGCGCAGCAGCGTGTAGCAGGTGACCACCACGTCCAGGATGGGCTTGGTCAGGTTGGAGTACAGGTGAGCGACGGAGGCAGAGAACATCACGATGTCCTCGGTCAGAGACTGGTCCGGGTTGGACAGACGGCCGTCCATGTTGCTGATGCGGTAATACGTCTGTAAAGGAGCGGAGCTTTAGACTCACCTGGAGAAGGCGGGTCAACAAGTGTACAGCAGGTCTCACCTGGTTGGTAAAGTACAGCTGGTAGGCGTGGCTGACCAATCGACTCCTGAAGCTCAGGGTCAGCTGACCCTCCAGGAATCTGATGGCGCTGTTGATGAACGTCGCAGGAACTGCGACGAGGAGCCACTTGGACAGCTGCAGCACGAAGGCGCGCGGATCTTTCTGCACGATGCACCTGACGATCATACCTGAGAGACCAAACCGGACCATCAGGATGACCTGAGACACTCTGGACAGACACCCAGGTAGAGAAAGGTGAGGACAGGTGACACAGGTGCAGACCGTCTAGAGAAGCCACGTAGATGGACAGGAAGGTGCGGGACATCAGGGTGATGGAGTGCAGAGCGAGCAGGCCAAACTCTGGACACAGTAACCGTGGAAACAGGAGCTTCAGCAGGTGAGACAGTCTGAGGACGAAGTCTCTGTTGACTGATGGAGACCTGTGGACAGGTAGAGTCCAGGTGAGACCAGGTGCCAACTGATCAGGTGTCTCACATCGTCTCCTGTCACCTGTCCACTTTCTTCTTCTTCTCATCTTCCCTGCCCTCCACAGTGCTGACCACGCCCACAGGTGTTTTAGCCCCGCCTCCCTCATCACCTGCTGCCCCTCTCTGGAGGAACAACACACTCAGTCACCTGCAGTCTTCCCCTCACCTTTGACCTTCAGGTGTGTGTCTCACCTGTAGCCTCCTCCACATGTACGGAGACAGCTTTTTGACAGCGTAGGCAGCGATCAGGATGGCGGCCATCTTCCTGAGTCTGGAGCTTCGCCTCAGCTGAGCTGGCAGCTTCTCATTGGCCAGCTGCATGATGACAGCCAGCTGACCAATCACAGCCTGGATCCTGAGAGCCTGACGCTCCACCTGTGCACAGGTAAGGAATGGCATCACCTGAAGCTCTCCCAACTTCTGCTCATAAAAAAGTAACTTTTATTTAAAGTCCAATTTATTGAGGTACTATTTACTTTTGAGTACTTTTACTTGAGTACATTAATTTAGTGTTCTTTTCATCTCTGTGTTTCTATACGTAGTTCCCACAAGTCTGATCCAGAAGTGTTGCAGGCCACTGATCCGCCATATTGGTAGGCAAACGCCACGCAAAGCACAGATGAGCGATGGCTTCCAGATCAACCAAGAGAAAATATATGAAAAGAAAGTTTAAGATTTTATGTTTGTAATGAATTTCTAATGTTTATATGTTAGATTGG